CTGGGAGACCTTAATGCTGAATCAGGGTGCTTTTAAAAAGTCACAATGTCAGGAAGTGGGCATCCATATTCTACAGGGATGCCTACTTGAGTTCACAAATACAAAGGGCATCTTGCTGACCATTTTGTGTGTGTGTGTGTTTCACAAATTATTCATCTTCCACCCACCTTCTTCTAAGCTCAAAGCTCCAAGAAATCCAAAATAGCATTACAGCTGGAACTAGTGCTCATATCTCCTCCCAGTCTGATTTCTTGCCAGCCTGTCCTCTGTCTTCTTAAATTCTTCAGTTGGTGGTTTGTTAAAGATGCAGTCAGGCTTCCCGCCTTTACAGCCTGTGTAGCAAACCTGTCTCTCCCCTGTGGCCTCGAGGGAAGAGATACCTGTGTGGCTGTTTGTGCACCGTGACCCCATCAATCTTCCCAAGAATTACTTGACTAGATGCAAATCTGAATCTAAGAAGAGATAATTGGATTCTCTTTTAAGATTTTGCTGTTAGTGCTGGACTCATCAAATTGGGCATTGGGTGGTACTGAAAGTGTAGGTCTAGCTATACAGGCGTACATTTTCCAGCTGTCATCTTGGGTGCTTATCTATGGCAGAGTTTTCTCATCCATAAAATGAGGTTCAAAATGATTTCAAAACTGAAAAAAAATCCATAATTAGTAATTTTTCCTAGGCAAGGAAACGTAACCTACCTGCACTTACTTGGTGACGGTGACCTGCCACCGTTGTCTGTTTGTTTGAATATACACATAGTTTCCTGCCAAAATAGTAAAGGTTTATGACTATGGAATATAGCCTGAAGATTTTTGGAAAAGGACTATGAGCCAACTATATCCACTTCCTGTACTTGTGTTGAGGGTTAAATAAATTTTACTACATGTGAAAGTGCTTAGAACAGTAAATACTAGTTATGCTGTTTATCTTTTCTGCATAGGCTCTTTTTTTTTTTTTCTCCAAGAAACAGTGTCACTAAGGTAAGCAACTACTAGGAGCTAGTTCTGCTTTTGAGCCTTGGTGACATGATAAATTTACCACCAAGATGGATATGGTCCCTCCCTTAATATAGGTAACAATCTCTAGTCATTGGACAGAAAATTAAATAAAGTAAGATAGATATTATTAGGGGCCAAATGTTCCTTAAAGAGGATCATGCAATAGTTCAGTAATAGGTAAGGAAGAATCTTCCTGAAGATCTTTGAGATAAGACGTGTAAGTCTACCAGGTGAACAGATAGTTTCAGGCAGTGAGGAAGGAACTTATGTGGAAAGCTCAGAGGAGAGATGAGGGATTTAGATTCTTGCCCACTAGGTTTGTCCCCTGCTACCCTCCAAATTACAGGTCTCCTTAATCCCGTCTCTCCTCAGGACTAGTGCCAGCCTCCTTGGGAAAGCTCCTTTAAAATTGAAGGCAAATAGTATCATAGAAAAATATATTTTCTCAGTGGGATACTCTGGGAAAAAGTAGCAAGTTTTTTTTTTTTTTTTGGTTATCCAGAGCATGCCTTCTCACCATTCTGGTAAATTGCTCCTCAGGTAGAGATGCTTGATGGGGCTCAAGAGTCTGAAGATTTATCTGTTTTCCCTGTTGGAGGAAACGTTAGGAATGGAGCAAAAACATTCCTCACCTCTAACTGGCTGCTTGCTGAATTTGTTGCTTTTAGTCATGTGTGGGCTTGGATATTAGAGATCATGCTTTTAAATTCCCTCTACATTAAGAATAAAATATAGAGAGAATGACTAAGCGAGTGTCTAAGTACATAGGGCAGACTACTGGTACCTGTTTGGTTACTCTTCTCTGTAGTTCTTAGGCATGGTCTGCAGTTTACCACACAGTACATTGAAAAAAGAAAATAATAAAGTCATGATCTTAAATGCTTTATCACTTGGAAGTTGAATAATTATTTAATGATTGAATAGGAAAATAAGGTAATGTTAAAATTCCCAGTGTCATTAACATTTTTAAATTCCATTTGTTATATAAAAATTTTATTTAATCTTGAAACCAATTTATGGATTATCTTGGCTTCTTTTTTTAATACTTCCTACATTATGATTTTTGGCTCATTATTACTAATACACAAAGTAGAAAAGAACATTGTGATATGATTTAAATTTGTTATTTACTGCCAGTGTTCATTCTTGTATCACATCAGCCATGAGTACAGCTTTTTACATTCAAAAAGAGTTTAAACTAGTAGCTTAAATGAAATTTATTAAAAAAGGCGTGAGTTAATGCCTGATATGCATATTATATCAGTATTATTGTGAATAATTCATATTAAATTTTTAAAAAAATCTTTCTTTATAATTAAGCATTCATCATGTGTAGTAATGAGCTTTTCCAGGGTAATTTTTTTTTTCTTTCACATGCTACTTTATTACAGATTGCATTCTCTCTCTCATTGTCTTCTCCTTGAATCTACGTCCCCATGACCTGCTATAGGATTTGCTTTTCTGTTCTGGATCCACAGTGAAAAAAGCTGGCTCAGGAAGAAAAGGAATGATGCCACTTACTTAACTCATTTTCCCACAAATAAAATTTATGTTGACAGTTTCTTACTAACTTGATTTTTATACAGGTGTTTATTCTAAAATTGTCTTGTCTAGATGTGACTAGTATCAATTATTTAATTATGGCTTTTTTAAAAAGGAATATTTTTTAATCTGATTCCAGTCTTTTATTCATTTGTGTCTATTTGGAGAAATCATATCTTCCTCTCAGTCTTTATGCTTAAAAATATCTCTTTTCATCTTTCATTTTCATATTCATCTTTGACAAAATGAAATCTAAAAATCTACCTTAGTGAAGAAAAGTTAGAAAACCTGTATTTGTTGATATTTGTAGAAAAGAGTTTCATTAGAAATACTGGTATTTTGTAAATATTAAATACATATGAATTAGACAAAGTAGCTTTTTGGGGTATGCAAATTATTTAGAATGTTTAGGATTTCTGTTGTCTAGAATTAGTACAATCATAGTCATTATGTTTTTTTTTTTTTTTAAAAAGATTTATTTATTTATACAGACCTGGGGTACAGGCCAGAGATGTGGAGGGTGAGAGGATTCACCAGAGACAGAGTGGGGAGCAGAACAAGCAGATTGACGAAGTACACTGCGGAGGCGAGCAGCGGGCGGGTCAGGAGAGGTCTGCCTTGCCATGTGGTCACCTCCGGGGCAGGCTGGAATCGAACTCATGCGGAAGTGGCTTTAGTTTCTCAGTGCTGTGCTTTAACCCGCTGCGCCACCAGGGAGGGCCCTATAGTCATTATGTTTTATAGTACTCTCTATTTGTCTGTAAATGATTCGGTTTTTATTAATTAATCAATTACTTCTTAATTTTTTATTAACACCTTAAAGATCATTATACCATTTATGACCCCCCAACACCTAATGTACAGCTAGGATCTTTGCAAGAATCAATTATCTAAACATGACTCCTCTTCATCCCTTTGGTTCTCCATATCTCACTTTGCCATTTTCTTGAATTCAGGGTTCACCAGTTCCTTGTCTTCTTTCCTTATATATTCTCATGAAATCTATGTGGATTTCTTATATGTATTTTAAAAATTGACTTGTTTTTACTTCTAATTAAAAGGGTTACGGCCCTCCCTGGTGGTGCAGCGGGTTGAAGCACAACACTGAGAATCTAGAGCCGCTTCAGCATGAGTTCGATTCCCGCCTGCCCCGGAGGTGACCACATAGCGAGCGAGGCAGACCTCTCCTGACCCGCCCGCTGCTTCCCTCAGCGGTGTACTTCGTTGATCTGCCTGTTCTGTTCCCTGCTCTGTCTCTGGTGAAGCCTCTCGCCGTCCCTGAGCCTCTGGCCTGCACCCCAGTTCTGTGTGCACAGGTGGATGAATCTTTAAAAAAAAAAAAAAAAGGTTACATACTGATATAACCTCTGTCAAGTATTTTATTTAAATTTATGTATGCATACAAGAGCTGATTGTAGGCCAGTGGTGCAGGGGGGTGGGGGTGAGATGGTTCACCAAAGACAGAGTGGGCAGTAGAACAGGCAGATCCACCGAAATAACTGCTGAGGGGAGCCCTAGGTGACATAGGTGAAGTCTGATATGCCATGTGCATTAGCTCTCTGGCTGTTCACAATTATAAACAGTTTTAACAACCTAACTCCCTGCCAATGGAGAGTTATAATATACTATTATATAGTAGTTAAAATAAATGAAATGTAACAATACAGAGCATCTAGTAATATAATGGTGAATTAGAAAAATACTCGACAGAGGTGGGGGCCTCCCTCATGGCACAAAGAGTTAAGTGTCAGCACGATGAAGCTATCTGCAGCCACTATACATACGTCTTATTTTTAGCTTATGAGAGTTTATTTTTTTAGGTATAAAGTCACAGAGTCAAGAAGTACATAAATTTTCAACTTTAGGAGATAATACCAAGCTCTTGCCCAGAGTGACTGAACCCATTTGTACTCCCAACATCAATGTATAGGAGACCCTATAAGTACTTTTCTCACTCTCCAGCACTTGATGTTGTCATTTTTCATTTTGTAAATTAAATGAACATGAAATGATATCTTCTTCTTAATTAATTTTATTCTTTGTGTTTGGGGGGCATATTTATTTCCTCTTATGAAACTTCTGTTCATGTATTTTTATCCATTTTTTTCTATTAAAGTGTTGATGTTCATTGTAACAGTTTGTTAGACATTCATTATATATTCCTGATACTAAGTATTTTATTAGATGTATGTTTTGAGGTTACTATTTTCAAATCTCTATGTATTGATTAACTTTAAATTTAATTTAAAATTCAAATTTAAACACTTAACTTCAGTAGTCTCACTTACCAACTGTATCATTTACCAAAGTCTCATATGTACATGAATTCATTTCTGGACTCTTAATGTGTTGTTCAGGGAATGAGTGAGTCAGGGTGTCTCATTTTATGTTTAAATTATATGTATTTATCTTTGAATTGTAGACACACACCTAGATTTTTAAATATTTTGGTTTTTCCACTAGATTTTGGACATAGTAAAAACAAGTGTTCGTACAGTTCTTCCACGTATCTGGAAGGTAGCTGATGTGGAGCAAATATATTTATCTCGGATTTTCAACCGCATTTTTAATCACTTACTCTGGAATCATGGGCAAGGACTGTGGAACTGTTTCTGTGATTCAGGGTAAGTTTCAAATCATCTTTTATTATAGTCTTTTTTTTAAAGATTTATTTATTTATTCGTACAGAGCTGGGATACAGGTCTATACAGAGATGCGGAGGGTGAGAGGATTCACCAGAGACAGAGCGGGGAGCAGGACAGGCAGAGGGGGAGCAGCGGGCGGGTCAGGAGAGGTCTGCCACACCATGTGGTCACCTCCCGGGCAGGCGGGAATCGAACTCATGCGGAAGCGGCTTAAGTTTCTTTGTGCTGTGCTTTAACCCGCAGTGTCACCAGGGAGGGCCTATTATAGTCATTTTTAATAATTACTATCTATATGTAGAGGTAACCCAACAGAATAGTTGAATTTCTTTAGTGATCTCTTAAAATATGGATTTTTTTCATTGCTTATAATTTTTTTTTTTAAAGATTTATTTATTTGTGCATACAGAACTGGGGTACAGGCCAGAGGCTCAGGGGCAGTGAGAGGCTTCACTGGAGACAAAGTGGGGAACAGAACAGGCAGATCAATGAAGTACACTGCTGAGGGGAGCAGCTGGCGGGTCAGGAGAGGTCTGCCTCGCCATGTGGTCACCTCCGGGGCAGGCGGGGAATTGAACTCATGAGGAAGCGGCTTTAGATTCTCAGTGCTGTGCTTTAACCCGCTGCGCCACCAGGGAGGGCCTCATTGCTTATAATTTTTAATAAACAGGGTCATTTAGATAAGATGGTTAATGTGAGTACACCACCACCTAACTAATTGGAATTATGTGGAGAAAAGAGTTTGTATTAATGAAAAGTCTTAACTATGAGTTTCTTCTGTTGTGGTCTTAATATAGCAACCTTCCAAAGTTATGGCCATATTCCTGTTCTTTCCCTGAAATTCAGTCCTGCCAAAACTCTATGACTCCTGGTCATTGTAGCCTCAGGGTGCCTAAAATCAAACTTCATACCTCCCCTTTTCTGCAGACATGACTTACCATCTGAACTTTCCTTAACCCCATTGTTAATTCTCCTGGTCATACAGGTTTGCCATCTCAAGGGCATCTGCCTCTTCTTTCTCCCTGGTTGTACATTTTTTTGGTAAACATACATATATATCATACTCTGGATACTCTTCAGATTGCATAAATCTTTCGCCTTTTACGTACATATATATCATCTAGTTTTTCTTAACATTTAATAATAAATTTTATTTTTGGAGTTAATTTGACTAGTACATTGCTATTTTTGAGTGAAAGTGACTTTTGCTCCTTTGTTAATTCTAAGTACAATATTATATTTAGTTCCAAACATCTCAAAACATACTCCTTCTACTTATTGGAATTTTAGACCCTTTAATAAAGCCTTCCATTCACTGATGCCATTCTGTCTTTTTGAGACCATGTTTCTCCTGAAAAAATAAACAGTAGCCTTTCTACTGAAAAATACCTTTCAGAGTTTCTAGAGCATTTTTTAAAATTCCAAAGAGATCAAATATCTACAGAAGATTGAAAATGGAGTCTTGAATTTCCCATTGGGAAGTACATTTCTTCAGAAAAATATTTTCCTTCATGCTTTTTTTTTTCTTTATGAAAATCTACTCTTTTTTCTCTCTAAGGGTTAAGCAAATTGGTTTATGTAAAATGAGACTTGAACCATTTACCAAGTCTTGAACCAAGCTTTCCCCTTGAGGCTTAAAAAGAGTTTTATTTGCATAAGGTAGTACTTCTCACTCTCTCGCTCTTTCTCTCCTTTGTGAGGGTCTATTGAGGTGTTTCCTGATTTGGACTATGATACTGAACTTCAGATTTGTAAATATATCTGTATTGTGACACTTCTTAACTGAGGTTTGCCAGCTCCACTGCCTGCTTTGGAATAAGCTGAGTGTGCTAAAGGAGAGAGGCACCACTGAAGTTTCATGGCTTTACTTGTGATAGCATTACTTCAAGATAGTGAGTCTGTGCTCTAAGAATAATATGGACACATAATTATTTCTGAAAGTGTTTCTGAAGCAGTTGTTCATAATCTAAGGATTAATGTAAATTCTTCTAGGGCAAAGAGGTCACAAATTAAGGAATAGCAATTTTTAAATTCTAATGTGGGATCATTATTAATACATTGGTAGATACAGCTTTCTAGTGAATGTAAAGTTCCCAGGATACTCAATTTTTGAGCATTTTATGAACACTTAAATATAGAGTAACATAATTTTTAACAATCCTGTTACTTACAATGGAAGTGATATCTTTAAAGACAGATAGTACTGAATTCTATGTTGTGTTTTGTTAGCATAAAGATTAACTTCTGAATCTGTATTTATTTTATACCTTTCAACCACCTCTAATCCCTTCAAACATGTGAGAACATTTTTGCTTTTCCATTTTTGTTTGCTGCTAGGTAGGTGATATCACTAGTTGTCATTTTTTTAGCAGTAATTTTTTTTTTAAAGATGTATTTATTTCTGCATACAGAACTGAGGCATAGGCCAGAAGTGCAGGGGTGGTGAGAGGATTCACCAGAGACAAAGTGGGGAGCAGAACAGGCAGATTGACAAAGTACACTGCTGAGGGGAGCAGCGGGCGGGTCAGGAGAGGTCTGCCGTGCCACGTGGTCGCCTCCGGGGCCGGGGATCGAACTTGCACTAAAGTGGCTATGGCTAGCTTCATAGTGGTGTGCTTTAACCTGTTGCATCACCAGGGAGGGCCATTAGCTGTCATTTTTAACAACCATGTGAGGTCATGTCTGTTTCCATGCCAACAGATCCTCTTGGGAGAGTATTTTCAGTAAAAGCCCAGAGTTGGTGACTCCTTTGCAGCTCCAATGTTGCCAGCGCCTGGTGGAGCTCTGTAAACAGTGCCTGCTAATGGTTTACAAATATACGACTGACACAAGAGGATCTCTCTCAGGCATTGGTCTGGAGTGGGGTAATTCCAGGTATGTGTTTATACTCCCTAGTTTGAATTTTATGTAAAGTAATGCCACAATGCAGGTTGAAACTGCAACTTAAATTTGTTTATATGGCTTGAAAAAATCTATAGGCTGCAAATTCATACAAAAATTCTTCTGACTTGTATAATCTTTACCTTTAGAGGACCAAATAAGTATAGCAATCACATATCTGAAGGTAACAGAAATAACCCACGTGGAAATGAGATTATTCAGTTTTAATATTTTTGCTTCCACAGATAAGAACATCCAAGTGTAGTAGTATAGTGAACATCTTTTCTGGATAGGGATATTTTAGTATTTATCCTTCAGCTTAATGTAGTTGAGAAGATGTCTTTAGGTTTTACAGTTTAGTATGCTTCCATTACTCTATTACCAAATCTGTGGGGGGTGAATTTTATTAAGTTTCACTTAAAATTTGATATTTTATGAATGTTGAACAGTTAAAAATAGTAGTTTTCCAAAACCATGAAGTATAATACTGTTTTTAAACTACATGAATACACAGAACAAACAAGAAATATATTTTAGCATTTTCCAAGATAATCCTATTTCCTATTAGAATTAAAAATGAATGTTACTTTATTTTAGTATATTTAAGTTGTAGTACTACTCTCAGGATAAGAAAATATACCGTGACTTTGAAAAGGAAGTGACAGCCAAAAGATGACAGGGTTCAACTTCCAGTTGAGTAGGCAGTGAGGAAAACGAATCCATGATAGCTAGGATTAGCATGCAAGTCATGATTGTTAAATAGCTCATAGAGAACATAGGAAAGCTAACTTTCTATAAATAGGACGAGATAGCAGAATTATTTGGAATTTTTATTTTGTACCATGTATTGGGAGATGTATTTTTAATCTTTCTTTGTCTTGGATTTTGTCATTTTATTATTGTACCTTTAACCTGTCTTTTAAAAAAGATTTATTTATTTATGCATACAGAACTGGGTTACAGGCCAGGGATGCAGAGGGTGAGAGACTTCACCAGAGACAGAATGGGGAGTAGAACAGGCAGGTTGACTGAAATACACTGCTAAGGGAAGCAGTGGGTGGGTCAGGAGAGGTCTGCTGTGCCATATGGGTCACCTCCCTGGCTGGAGATCAAACTTGTGCTGCCGTGGATGTGATAGCTTCATGGTGCTGTGCTTTCACCCATTGCACCACCAATGTAGTTTCATGTGCTTTTTTTGGTTCATAGTGAACCTCTTTTTCTTTTTTTAGTCTTAAAAATCTGCTTTAGGGCCCTCCCTGGTGGTGCAGCAGGTTAAAGCACAGCACTAAGCTAGAGCAACTTCAGCATGAGTTCAGTCCCCATCCCAGAGGTGACTACATGGCGCAGCAGACCTCTCCTGACCCACCCGCTGCTCCCCTCAGCAGTGCACTTCATCAGTCTGCCTGTTCTGCTCCCCACTCTGTCTGTGGTGAATCCTCTCACTGCTCCTGCACCTCTGGCCTGTACCCCAGTTCTGTATGCAAAAATAAATAAATCTTTAAAAAAAATCTGCTTTTATTAGCATTTAGGTTTTTGAATGTTTACTTTTTTCTACTTTCTAGTTTTATCTTATTCTGCAAATTTCCTCAAAAATGAGTATAATCATTGCATCCATTGGTTTTACACTGAGATTTGCAAACAGAAAGAAGGTTGTAGGCTAGGTTGTAGGAGCACTGTTTCTGGAGTTTGGTCACATGAGTTTGAATCCTGACTCTGCCCCTTATTAAGAGCAGTGAGACTGTGGGCAAAGCATTTGACCCCTGCATGTGTGTGTACAAGATATATTCATCTGTAGAACTAAGTCTACAATAATTTCTACCATGTAGAATTGATATGAGAACTAAATGAGTTAATCTTTGTAGAGCAGTGATAATGGTGCTGGGTGTATAAAAATACTATTTAAATGTGTTAAATAAAAGTGTAAGTTATCTGTAATCTAGACTTTGTGCTTTTTTAAAATATGAAGTGGCGATCTTTAACTCAAAAAGATATATTAATATTATTGTAAAGTCAATAGTAATCTTTTCTTGGAAATTCTTGAAAAGAAAGTTAATAGAAATTACTGACTGCTGTGATACTATCAATGTTATCAGAATGTGTTTTCAATAAAAGATAAAACACCTTTCAACTAATACAAAGTAGTGAGTTTTGATAAACACCTTCATTTTTTTTACACCTTTGTTAAATAAGAACGGTGGCCTTTTCATGGTAGAAGATATCAGATTAATAATGATTTCACTAGCTCTCGACATAGTAATTAATCCATGTAAGTTACTCATGTGATGTTAATAATTTATATAATCTGTGATGTGAAAAATCAATTGTTTCATTATTCAGCATCCATTGTGCAATTTTGATTTAATTTCGTTTGTTGTATATTAGTTTACTGCTATATCAGCTTAATAATTAGAGCAATTATTTATAGCTTGATATCATATAATAGACTTAGATGATAGCAGATAATTCATAAAGAAATGTTTATGAATATTATGCATTATTTCCCACTTTAATCTGAATATTGCATATAGTGTGAACATAATGAATTATAATATTCTTCTGTAAAATTCATTTAGCATAGCTATAAATATAATTTTCCATTGACTTAGAGGTATAGCAGTTATCAGTGCTAATATTGATGGGCAACTAATAGTACACTTAGCCATCAATTTCTTCATATATCTCTGGAAGTCTCATTCTTTTGTTGGAATACTGTAATCTCAAATGAAAAAAATAAATGATTTGAGGCTGTGTTACTGTTTATGTCTTCAGGACAACTGCAGTTACAAATCTCCTGTTGCCACTTGGGCTCCTGGAAATCCTTTGTAGATATCTTTGTTCTAACTTTATGGCTTATCTTCATCCTTTCTAAGACTAAAACTTTTAATACTGGTGTTTATTTGCATTTGTTCATGTGGATTTCCTTGAGAAGTTCTTACTAGACATAGACTGGCCCAATGGAAACCAAAGTTTTCCAAAGAAAAGCAGATATAGTGTATCTCTGATTGCAATTCCTAATTCCCAAAACTTGAAAACAAAAGATACCCACTTATTGCTAACATTTGACTTGAATTGACATGAAACTTCTAGTCTTTAGTTTATCCTTCATGTCCACACAATTCATTACAAAATATTAATGTTTCTTTTCAGGATGCTACCTGTAAGTCTTGATGGAGATTCTATATAGTATATGGTAGATGCACTATATTGTACTTCTAAAATCTGGAAAATTCATGTATTCTGAAATACATTTTCAGCAAGGGTTGATGCAGCCTGTATTCATGATAGTTTTTGATGTTCTTTAATCATAGGCAGGGTGCAGTAAAAGAATTAAATTATAATTTAAGAATGATAACTTTGTTTTTCAGATCAATGAAATTTTATCAAGTTCTTCTCAATGATTTCATCCTCCTTGAACAAATAATTATTATTATGTCAGATTCTCTTATTATGTTTTTAAGAAATATTCAACTTGTTGCACACATTACTTATAGAGATGATAAATTCCAAATTAACATGAGCCTCATAAGAGCTTCTTAGAATTGAGTATAATAGCTCTTTATGGGGTATATCCTGGAATGCTAAGATCATATCTATAAGTAACTCTTTGGGTGAGGCGCTATGACTGCACTTTCTCCCTCCCTCAGTCTGGAAAAATAGATCTTTTTATGTGGATTGCATTGTCCATTACAGTATCCTTTCTGATGTAGGGTATTTTAGCCATTTCATCCTTTAGTAGGAGCTTAGTTTGTAAAAGTCTAATTTTTTTTTATTTATTACAAAAGTTTATTTTTACATCATTAAGTCTAATTTTTTGACTCTCATTTTTAGGTATTTGCTACCAGGAAGTGCACAAATCTTCATGAGAACACCATCGTACAACTTGAAATATAATTCACCTGGAATAACTCGCCCCAGTGTTTTGTTTACATCTCGATATGGCCATTTGTGAAACAGAAGGGAAGATCAGCATGGGTTATGCATAATAGCATTTCATTCCCCCCCCCAATCTAAACATGCAAAGAAAGTGACCATTAAGTGCTATTTTATGTATATATGGCATAAATGTGTGTGAAACTGTATACACACATGCATTCAAATAACATATATATATATTATAATATATGAAAGAAAAATGAGCAGAAAACTGGTTAGAAGATTTCACCTTTCTGGACATGTAATAGACCATGTTAAAATTGTTTACACAAATATGTGAATGTTTAGAATTTGCTAGGTTTACAGGTAATTCCTACTAGAAATGTTATTTTTGCTGCAGAGTATATAAAACAAATTGATCTTAAAGATTCCATTACAGTGTTAAATTATTTTCTAGATAATGCCTTTTGAATTGAAAAAGCATTCATAGTATGACACCTTATTAATTCTCTTTTACATAGTAGCTATTTAAAATAATAAAAAAAAAGAGTTAGAAACTTGGTGTTGTTTGATGATAAGGTTAAGTATAAAACATGTTTATCATTACTATAACACATTATAACATACTATAAAAATCCAAGCTGATTCTCCAACATTTTTATTCCTCTATGTGGAAATGTAGTTACTTATGATAATGTACATTTTCTGTAGGGACCCAGTAAAATCATACTATTATCTAAAATGGAAGACAATCCAGTGTGTTAAAAATAAATGTAAGCTAGCTTTTGCTCCTTGTCATCGAGAGTCACATAAAGGAACAGAAAATGATGGTAATGACAAAATTTTTTGATGTGATGTTTGTTTCATGTACCACTCACTTTTATTTAGAAAACTTATATTTAATGGACACGTAGTCAAATACATTTCTTCTAATCTTCAAAAGTAGAAGGGCTGGCATTTTAAACTCATTTCTGTCTTACAGGATAATGAATCACATTTACTTTACAAGAATCCAATGTTGTCACGAATTTACTTTGCAAAGTCTAACACAGAGCTTCTATTGCACCGTGGATAACTAAATTATTAAAAATGTAAGATTCTGATTACTAGATATTATTAGTCATCAGCGTACCCTTGAGAATTTTTAAAAGTTTTTTCCTGTCCAAAGTTAATATGTTTTATAGCAGTTTACTTCCTTTTCTTATTTACCGGTTCAAAAACAAGTGAGTTTTAAATTTTCCATAAAAATGTAAAGGCCTATCATTGACATGGTAATCCTTAGAAACTGCAGTGTTCACCCTTTACAATCTTATTTAAACTTGTCCCAGAAATTTTAATTTCTTACAGTTGCTAAATATTTGCACAATATTTTACCTCCTTTTACTGTCCTTAAAGCTTTTTTCAGTAAATCAAGAAATGGCCCCAAAGCAGAAGGAAAACTGAGAAAGGCAAATTGGACTGGTTTAATTCACAAGCTGGATAATTGGCAACCCAAAGTTGTAAGTTAGATATATTTTGCATTTAAAGCTATATTCTGAGGATGTGTTAGGCTAAAATTGGTTCTTTCTTAAGTTATTGCTAGCTACTTGACTCTTTATGACTACTTAAATCTGTATTCTAGTAGATACTTCTCCTTGCTGGATACATCCCAGCAAGGAATTTGTTACTAGTTTTGTAGAAGGATGGTTTAAATGTCAGAAAGAAGGGAATTTCAGTGTACCTCAGTTTTGTTTATGACTCAATTTTATAAACTCTTAAATATTTTATAGGTTCCATAGGTTAAATAAAACAAAACTTTGAATTATAAAATCATTATAAAAGTGATCAGCAGACCTCACAGATTTTTGGGGGGCAGTTTTTCTTATAAATTAATGCTTTGCTCATGAATGTGACTCAAATATAAGTGTGTAGTGTAGATGTAACATCAGCTAGTTTGTTGTTTGCTCACTCTCTGACTTACACCATAAACGGTCACTTAATTTGGTGGAGTGGGTACTTTGGAACTTCCGTCCTTAGTTGTACAAGAGTGACTTTTTTTTCCTAAATAAAGAATAATGTTCAATATGGAGAGGAACTATTCTTCCCCTGGGAGATGGGGGTGGGAACACCAAATTTGGGGGGAAAGACAAGAAAATTAAATGTATGAAACTTCTCAAGTAACTTCATTTTTCTAGCAATTTAAATTTGGCTTTTGAGCACTGAAATTTTACTACCCATGCTTGATCACTTAAATATGAGGAAGTTGTGAATAAAAGCCATGTGCTCACTGTTTATATATATTACCAGTTATGTTCTCTGTGGATGATCGTTGCTATACTACTTATTCCTTAATGAGAAACTAAGAAGGAAGCTAAAATAATAAACCATGGAAGTCTGCAGGGGCCATAGAAGTGTTTTAGAGCTATAAAATATTCCTTACTATTTGCTATAATTTTTTTATTTATTAGGTTAAAGCATATGAATATAAGTGATAATATGGGTCTAACACACAACTCTATTCTAGGAGAGAAAACAACTTTATCTAAAAAGCTCCAGAAGCTATTCAATCTGACCAGGAGTTTTAATAGTGAATTTGGTTAACTTATAATGAAGGCAATAATTCAATTCTATTATCAATTCTATTATTATTAAAAAACGTACCCCTGGTCATTCTGTAAATCTAAAATTAGAATGCTTTCCAGAACTATATATGATTTCCAGAGTTGTTTAAAAAGTCTTTTAATTTTAAATCATCTATGAATATAGTTTGGAATTAGAGGTTAGTTTTCACTTTAATATTCCAACACAGTAGGTTAGTTACCATCCGCTCGATATAATCAGTAAAAAGGAAATGTGAGCCATACTTTTTTCTACTAGCAACAAATTTTATTTTACTATATTTCATTAACGTAGCCAGTCTTCAAAGTTAAAACTGGATCAGATATGGAAATGACAACAGTAGTTCTGTGTAGAAGTTGAATAATTGAATATTGCTGGTTATTTTTAAGCTGCAAAGAGCTATTCATACTTTTTCATATGCTGAATTGATATTATTCAATGTAATAAAAATAAAATTAACCAAGCTCAAGCAAAAATATAAAACTAAACCACAAACAAACCCAGACTTCATGTCACCTAATGTTTGCACACAGTGAGATGATAGTGGATAGTGGACATCAAGAAAAATAATTGCATTTGAATTCTCCTTCAATATGGAAAACATGATGGTAGAATTTTGTTACCTAATTCAAAATTCTAATGTTTTAATATAAATTATTCCAAATGCTTTTTTGTTTAGAATTCAAACTCATTCCATTAAAAACATTCTCTTTAAAATTTAAACATATGCAGTACCTGACCTTTTCAAAAGTTAAAAAACTGATAGCTGCATATTTTCAGTTTCCTATAAAGCATGTCTTCTTTCTTCAGTAAATATTCTTTAAAAACAACAGTAAATGCTTTGAGAAGGGTGACAGGAAATACCTTCCTTTTCTGTTCTATAATGATAATTTGCATTTGAGTCTTTTTGCTTGGTTTTAAGGGTTAAACAATAAAAAGCATATCTATAGTTGTGTTCCTGTGCCATGATTATTATTAGTTATCTGAATATTTTATGTTAATGTCATAAAATTAAACTTAGAGATTGAAACTATATTCATGATAAATTTCATTCCTTATATTGCTTTATCTGTTTTCTTCTTTTTTTTAAAACTCTGTTCCTTTGAAGTTTTGACCTCTGAATGGACAGTCACGAAAAGAGAAATCCTGCCTTTTAAATATTGATTTTCCTTGCATTTTGGTGTTGTATTTTGCCACAACAACAATAAACCTTAGAAAAATATGTTATTGGATCAAGTTCAGTTTCCTGAGATTATTTTTTAAGAATCTGGTTGAAGTCTCTATACCTAAAAAACATCAGTTGTCTGGATCCAAAGGAACCAACATACATGGTTACAAATATCTGTTTTGTACCCCCAAAACTGCTATATTAAACATATTGTACAATTTGAGATTACTGCCTTTTTTTTTTTTTTTTTTTTAATGTTTGCCTGTCATAAACGGGTCTGTGGAACACTGAGGTAAAACTTCAGGTGACGCATTCAGTACTAACTGGGCTGTATTATCTAAGAAGAACTACATTAAGCTTTCATTATATCCCAACCTACTAACTTGAATAGCATTGGTAAAATCATTCAATGCAGTAGTATTTTTTCAGTTGATACGATTTACCTTACAAAAGTAATCTTATAATGCTGATAATTCTCTTTCAAAGGTTGATAATGACAGTTCTTCATATTGAGTGATGAGTTCATGCAGTAATACTGTATGTTAAAACAATGCATATTAATCAGTTTGCTAAAGATTCTGATTTGAAGATAAACTTGAAAATGTTTGCTAACATGAATCATGATTCCAATTATCCCTATGTGCTTTACTACTTGTATATATAAATGCAAATGTTGTTATAGAAAATATGCTTAAAATGTCAACACAATGTGCAATTAGTATTGCATTGTCGTGCTTGAGCATGTGATGTCTGTATGGTGAAATTATTTCAGTTACATAGATATGTTACTATAATAAAATATTTAACATAAAAAAGCTGTATGTCATTAAATGGTTATTTCTGTTTTTCACGCACACAAACACATACAAATACACAATTTTTTTTTTTGTAGTAGAAGAGACTTTCAATTAAACTTTCAGGTGATGAAATATATTTATAGTAATTTTCTTCTGTGTTACAGGCAGCAATAGCTCAGTGGGGATAACTTCACCTGCTATTAAAGTCAGGTTGAGTAAACAAAATTGGTGTCAGCTCCTCTCTGAGCCTAAGGCACACTGTTTTAAAATTTAGAAATGACACTTTTATATCTTTTCAGTTTCGTGGATTATAAAAGCAGTATTACTAATCTAATTAGAATAATGTCAGCATCTCAAGTGTGAAGTTCATTTTATTCAGGAACTTATAATCTTATCATTGCTAAAACTTAGCTTCAATAAGAGGCATATCTTAGTCTTACTGCCTTTTATACCACATTCTTTAAGGTGTTTAAATATAAAGAAATTAAAATATTTTTCTTTTGAAGAAAAGAAGTATTTTGATGAATATCCTATTATGTGATAGGAATTTTAATGGATGTATACCTTATTTTTTTGAGGTGACAACCAAATGGTATAAATGTTGACTTGAAAAATGTATTTTAAAAATTATTTTTATAAAATTGAAATATTCTATAAAAAGCTTTAGGGTTGAATTTTTTTTTTGTGATAAAGATTAAGCTAATGTGGGTAGTTTAGCTCATTTTAACATATAATTTGTAAGAATTATACATAATATGCATGTATATACATACTACATTTTTATAAATCACATATACATAATCATTCATATATATTTATATAAAATTTCATTCATTTCCATGACTGAAAATCTGTTTTGTTAAATTTATTTTCTCATGTCTTGTAAACTTTTGGATAATATTTGATTTCTCCACTCAGGTGTGGTCCCCATAGTTCCCACCCCCATAACACCTGTGAACCATCACCATGGTCCCTTGTGTTCTGCCCTCCCCTGTCTTGACCTCTCCTCCCCCAGAACTGTGGTTTGCCTTTCTGCCCATTTATCACTTCTGCTGTTTGTTTTTGTTGAGTTATATAAGCTCTTTGTAGATCTTCAATATCAGTCCCTTGTCAGATATATGGTATGCAAATATTTTCTCCCATTCTAAATGACTGAAATCTGTATAAATCACCCTGAAATAAGTTAAAGTGTTAGAAATCTTAATATCCTACCTTAAAACAAGTATTTAGCTCTTTTGTAAAGACGGTACAGCAAATCTTTCAATTTGGAGTAACTTTAATGATGTATATGACGGAGTAACTTTAATGATGTATATGTGCATATAGAATATGATAACGACACCTATCACCTTGGATAGATAAATTTGGAAAACATTGGGTGTGAGTGTTTGAAATTATTTCTTTTACTTTCATGGCCTTTCAGAGTCTTCAGTATCCAAAGTGCATTAAGTATCCAGCATGGAACTAGAACATGTGTAGGCCCTAAACATTTTATTATGGTTATGTCTCTTACTTCTCCAATGACTAGTCTTTTGGCCAAATTTTGAAAAACAATAAACTAAGTCAATTCATCTTCATAAAGTAATTAAGACCTTTATCCAGTCAATTATTTTTCTGGGATACTCATTGTATAATTATGATCACTGCAATTATAGTGTAAGAGTTTACTTGCATTTATCACTTGAGAATTTGGTCATTTCCAGAAAAATATTTGAAACAAGTTTCAAATAGTCATTGGTTGACCCAAGAAGGATGACTTTAGGTAAATTATCTTAGCGTTAGACATTTGCAACATATTGTGACAGACAAAGTAATAGAAAATGCTTCTAAATGTGGTCTAAACCTTTATGAAATGATACTATGGTGGCTAGTATGGCAAATGTCTGTATTGAGTAATGACACCAATCAGCAGAAGAGCTGTATATGACAATATAGTTAGTAGCACACCTGACTATCCTGACTATCTCAAAGTGTTTTTATATTTTTTTAAAGATTGATTTATTTATGTACAGGCCAGAGGTGCGGGGGTATAAAACAGGAGGACTGCCTGAAGTACACTGCTGAGGGGAGCAGCGGGCGGGTCAGGAGAGGTCTGCTGTGTGGGTCACCTCCTGGGCGGGGATCGAACTTATGCAGAAGTGGCTTTAGCTTCTTTGTGCTGTGCTTTAACCCACTGGGCCACCAGGGAGGGCCCTCAAAGTGTTATACAAACACAAAGGCCTGTTTGTTCTCAAGAAATTTCCTTCAAAGCTATAATTTATTCAATATGTGCTATATTATCTATAAGAGAAAAAGTTTCTTGAGCCAATTTTGTGTGTGTCTAAATTTTTCTTAAACAGTATGTTGGACACTTTGGATGTCTTAAAATGTTATGTTTTGCCCCCTGTGAAATATTGTCAGCTTATTCTCCTCAAATAATAGAGAAATATACTTACTGTTTAGTATATTTAACTGCATGGTTATAAATTATATTTGACTTGAGGAGAAATATGACACAGTGTATGTGAGAAATATGGTGAGTAAACCTTAATGCAATATGAGAAAATACTATTTCAGCAGATTATCTCATTTTCATTAAAATGATGAAAATGTGGCTTCAGAGAATCACTTAGTCTCTAAGCTAAAAATAGATTATCAAAACTTAATATCATTTTAACTTAAATTGGTATTTTTGTTCAGTAAATGTTCTACACCATAATGTAAAAAGTACAAAGTCTAACTCAAATTTGGCCCAGAAGTAGAAGGGACTTTAAAAATACATAAATAGGCCCTCCCTGGTGGCTCAGTGGGTTAAAGCGCAGCACTGAGAAACTAAAGCCACTTCCGCATGAGTTCGATTCCCGCCTGCCCCGGAGGTGACCACATGGCGCAGCTGACCTCTCCTGACCCGCCAGCTGCTCCCCTCAGCAGTGTACTTCATAGATCTGCCTGTTCTGCTCCCTGCTCTGTCTATGGTGAAGCCTCTCGCCACCCCTGAGCCTCTGGCCTGTACCCCAGTTCTGAATGCACAAATAAATAAATCTTTAAAAAAAAGAAAAAGAAAAAGAAAAGATTAATATTAAAAAAATACATAAATAATTCCATTATGTTTCTTACTTTTCCCAAACTGAGCACTTTCTACAAATAAAGGGTAAGCAGATTCCTCAGATACTACCCTAACTTTATAGTGTAGCCTTGGATTTTTAAGTTGAGTATTATATTTATTTGTTTTTTTACTTTTTTCCTGACCCTCTGTGTGTCTACATCACAACCAATTCCACTTTGTCCCACGGAAGCTTTACTGCATTATTCTCTCACTAACAATGCGAAGGAAATCATTACATATGTAGGTTGTTTCAACTAAAACATTAAGTTCTTATGTTTGTATGGAAATGTATGAATGTATGGAAAGAACAAAGACAGATTCTACTTTTGTGTTATTTACACTTCTTTTTCTTTTTCTTTTTTTTTTTTTTAAAGATTTATTTATTTTTCATTACAGAACTGAGATCCAGGCCAGAGATGCAGGGAAGGTGAGAGGATTCACCAGAGACAGAGTGGGGAGCAGAACAGGCCAAAGTACATTGCTGAGGGAAGCAGCGGGCGGGCCAGGAGAGGTCTGCCTCACCTCCGGGGCTGAGGATCAAACTCATGTGGAAGTGGTTTTAGCTTCTTAGTATTGTGCTTTAACCTGCTGCGCCTCCAGGGAGGGCCAACATTTCTTTTTTTAATAGCTATTTGACCCACAGTCATAATATCCCAGTTCTCTGAACAATAAGTGGTTATATTTCACCCTCTAAGTTCTGTTACTACTCAATCTGTTAATGTATGCGCTGGACAAGCATGAGAAAAGCCCATTTTCACATCCAGATTTTAAAAATACTTATTTTGCTTCTTTCTATACATACTAGAAATTCTCCCAGCAGTTTGTAGATCTGACCTAAGCACGTAATTAATAGGGTCTAACAGATTTCTAGAAGATTCCACAACGCTGTGACACTTTGTCAAGTAATTGCAAGACTTCGGAAAAATAAGATGAAGATCCTTACAAAGATTGTAGTCTTTTCCTTAGTAAATAAGCCCTCATCTACTTTATTGTTTGCTTTTCTTATGTAACAGAAAACACACCAGAATAGCAAACTAAAGATGCCAATTTCAATCCTGGTCTTGCTATGAACTGTTTGGGTGGGTCAGGGCCTTTGCTTCCTAACAGTAAATACCAACTAAGAGTTGTGTTGTGTGGAAAATAGGAAGCACTACTTTATGTGATCAAGTATGTAATTTTCTCTTTATATTCAAAAAATATATAACTGATTGTTCAAAGGCTCTACAATTGATTCTAAATTCAGACGAGGGAGGAATCCCTAGATTTCAAGTTCTGTAAGAATGGGACTAAGAGCACTTTTCGCCAGGTGGCAATCATCTTTAGCCAGTCATTCAATACAAACCTTTCGTGTACTCACGAAATTCAATTTCAGGCAAGATCCGCA